TATATACATATATATATGTATTTATATATATTCATATATATTTATATACATATATATATGTATTTATATATATTCATATATATTTATATACATATATATATGTATTTATATATATTCATATATATTTATATACATATATATATGTATTTATATATATTCATATATATTTATATACATATATATATGTATTTATATATATTCATATATATTTATATACATATATATATGTATTTATATATATTCATATATATTTATATACATATATATGTATTTATATATATATATATATACACATATATATTTATCTATATATATTTATAGATATAAATTTATATATATATGTATATAAATTAAAACTCTGATGAACCAGATTCTACAAAAACATTACATTTAAATTTTTATAGGTTTTCATCATCATTTGATGTATTTGTACTCATTGTGTCTACTTTTAATGTTCATTTTAAATGTGTGGTTTCCTTTCTTGTTCACATATATACATTTTATTTTTAGTTTTGCTTTAAAGTTCTTGTTTTTTGATTTGTACATTTGTGAGTTAAAATAAAGTTGAACTGAAGGTCGTCTCTTTTCTTTAAACATGTCTGAGGGAAATATTTCTGAGATCCAATAGTTTTGTGTCTTTTTATGATTTTCAGCTGAGTTAACAGTCATTAAAGTGAAAACAGGATTTCAAGATGAAGCTGGCACCGTTTATTTTTTTTTTTAAATCTTCAATGCTAATATATATATATATATATATATATATATATATTTTTTTTTTTTTTTTATTTATTTTTTTTTTTTATGACGATCCTCTCCTCCGGAGACGGGCAGGCTCATCTTCCCAGCTCCGAGCTCAGCTGGTGACTCACAGAGGCCGTTCCAAGACTCCAGCCGCACGTAATCTTGATGGTCCGACCCGCGCAGACAGGCGGGCAGAGACGGGTCTGCGACGAACGGTGGAAGCGATTTTAAAAAACATTTTACAAGTAAAAAAAAAAAATCATTTTTAAATCGCTTCAGCAATTTTTTAAAACATTTTTTGTATAAAAACAAAATATTTCATTTAAAAATCGCTTCCAGCGACTATCCAGTCCGCCTGACTGCCGGGTGGGATCGGGATTCAGCCTTCATGATTACGCGCGGCCGGGGTCTCGCAACGTCCATCTGTGAGTCCCCATCTCCAGCTTTGCAGTGACCAGCGGAGCTCTGTGCACACAAGGCTGGTATCCGGAACCCGAGCCTCCGAGTCGGCACATCGAAGGATCTTCCGCGGTGACCAGCTGAACTTGGAGCCGGGGAGATGACGCCCTGCCCGGCTTGGCGCTCCGAGGCTCCGGAGGGAGGATCGGGGTACACCAGCAGAGCTCCATCCAGCTTGCTCTAAATTATGTTGTCAGCCACCAAGCACAAAAAATGCCAGCACATCAACATTAGACCAAGATGTTGTTAGTATTGTTTTTAAAATCTTTAAAATAAATCCAGCCGCTGCTCCAGTCCAAGAAATTGCAAATGGCGGATTATTGTTTTGAAACGTTTCTGAAGGATCCAGTGACTCCGCCCCCGACCAATCAGTGACCGACAGTGTTCTGACGTCACGTTTTTGTACCTCTTCGTACTGGTTAGAACCACAGAGCCAAGGGTACTGAAAATAGTAACAGGTGCTAAGTACCGGTACTAATGGAAAAGCCTCAGAACCGGGCCAAGTAGGGTAAAGTCGGCCCGTACCGGTACTAATGGAAAAGGGGCATTAAAGAGTTCTCACTTCCGGTCACCTCAGGACTTCCTGATTGGTTGAAGCAACCAACAGGGGGTGGTTCTAGTGATGTCAGTGGGTCAATACAAGTCAAGAAAACAGCAGGAATGTTTTAGAAACGTCCCGTACAGACAGAAGACATGTTATGGCGAAGTGGGAGGAAGAGAGGCCAGTAGCTTCTTGTTTACCATCTGCTAGGTTTAAAAACACGACACTTCGTTCTAATAACTTCTTTCTGACTTTCGACTGACATCACTACTTCTCATTTAGACAGAAGATCAAAAATGCATAATTACTTTGTAAAATAGACATTTAAATTGATTTCTAATTTAAATGAGGATTAAAAAAATTAATACAGTTTCACAGTTGATTTAAAAGAGTGGTTCACTTCAACATTTAGAAATGGTATGAACTAAACACACTTTTGATTTATCACGATATTGTAAAATAGTAATGATAATATAAGAGTGCTCTTTCAATTGATTACTTCAGGATACAATTAGACAGTCTCTGGATGAGCTAATTTGTATTTCTGGATTTAAATCAATGAAATAACAGTTCCTGTCCCATGAAGGTCTTCAGAGGCAGGTTTTGGTCGGAGGCCGAGTTCACTACAATTATTTATTAAGCATTAATTAAGGGTGACAGACAAAACTGATCAGTCTGTTGTCAAAGAGTGAGACAAATCTGTTCAGCTACATATTTCATCTAGAGTTGTTATATTAATAATTTCAGACCAAGCTACTACCTTGTAAAAATAATACGCATTTGTAAACCTATTCCTTTAGGATATATTAGTTGTAGATATTTTTAACACAATGATAAAAATACATTATATGCTAAAGAAATAGGTTAACAAATGCTTAATGTGCTTATATGGTAGTAACAGTCTATTAATGCTTAATAAGCAGTTATTAATGATTTATAAAGTGTTTATAGAGGAAATAATAGTGTATCTATAAACTATTTATTAGCCATCTATAAGGGGAGCCTTATTGTAAAGCGGTACCCAGAGCTGGACCCTCTGGGCTCTGCATGGCCTCAACTCGGCCACTGCCTTGTTGGAAGTGGTGGCAGACGATGGTAAATGTTTTGCAACTTTCCTTCCACTTGTTTTTTAACCACTTGCTGTGTTGTGTTTGGGTAGAAAACAATGTGGGAGTTTTGGGTGGCGGCGGCGCCCACATCGAGCTGCCACTCAAGTTGCACTGAAAACCACGGAGACTGACGACCCGAGTAGACTTGGAGAGCGTCGTGATGAGACTGGACAATAGAAAAACAGCCTAATGGTCCGGCACCAGATTAAATCAATGTGTCTGGTGTGAGTAAAGTTGCTGAACACCCTGACTGAAGCACGTCTTACCTGTGAAGGAACTGAAGGTTTGACACCTTCCCACTTTCACCGTCAGAGCTCCGTTCTCGCTGCTTCTGCAAACACAAACGGGACTTTTCACATCGTTATCCCCGTTTGTTTGGAACGGATCACGGCAGTTGAACGTTCGCTGCCCCTTCCAGAGCTAAAGAGCATCTTACCGCCTCACTCTTCAGTTCTTCTCTCACGGCCTGGATGGTGTCTCTGCACTCAGCCAGCAGAGTCTCGTACAGATGCTCTTTGGTCTCCTCGTTGGCCGCCTGCACATCACAAACACTTTATATCTAAATTTCATTTAAAGCAGAGAAGACGTTTTGATTCATGCACCTGAACACAATATAAACAGGTTTGTACCAACATCGCTAAGAAGGTTTGTTTCATTTGAAATATAAAGTTTCATATCAGTGGGTGGAGATCTTGAAAGCAGCATTCCAGGTACGTAGAGAATGCCACAAACAGCATCAGTAAAGCAGGAAAGTGAGTGTGTCAAAGTGTGGGAGATGCAGGTATGTTTTCTGGCAGGTTGCTTGTACATTCCAGCACACAACTCATAATTAGGTGCGCTGAAGTCTCAGGGTCCAGATCTTTGTGAGACTGCTCCACACCTCAGCTGCCTTTCATCGACACTGTAATCCTGGAACGTTTCAGTGACTCAGTTCTTAAAAATGTGCAAAACCAACGCTGCTCACATTCAAAGACAGCATTGTCTAACAAGAGACAATACAGTCCTGGTCATACCTTCATGTACTGAAATAAAAAAAATTGTTTTGGCATTCACTTTATAAATTTAGGTTTACTGAAGGGTGAGTAAAAATCCAGCAGATCCACTTTAATGTAGATTTTACCATCCTAAAACAGTCTTTCATTTTTCATGCAAACACAATCATTTCCATTTGTACCCTACTGTAAATTTTGTATTACGGCACATGTTTTTCCATTTCTAGATCTGTTTCGTGCTCAATAACTTATTTTATCTAACACTTTGATTTGCTGCATGATCGGAGTGTTTGGAAAGACACATGTTAACAGTATTAACATCAAGCGCTCCAGGCTGCACAGCACATGCTCTTTGCACAATTAACCACACACTTTGACGTGAATAATGAGAATGCAAAGCTGTCAAGGTCGAAAGGTCTTTGAAAAAGTATTTAAATAAACTATGATATGTTGCAGATTGAGGTTGACTTAAGATGACAACATTCCAGTTTGGTTTTGGACTCGTCGTTAACTCACCAGTCCAGTCTGAATTAAACTATTTCTCCCGTCTGACGTTGCTGTTGTTGTACAACACTGATGACCTTTCATGAAACCCCACTTCAAAGTGTCAGAACTGTCCTCATCAATTCAACGTACTCCTCCAAAGAAGTTTCTAGTTGTAACAATGACCAACAGGTGACTCACACGTCTCTGAGCCACCCTGAAGGGTGACGTTACTTTGTGCTCAACACTGTCACCTACACCCTGTCGAGGCCCAGCACAACCAGCTCAACCTGTTGAGCATCCTTCGCTGTTCAGAGATGGAGCTGGGCAGATAATCTGATCAGAAGTGGAGCAAGCACTTTAACTGGGCTGAACCCAGCTAGGCCTGTGGCAATAAACGATAAATCAATTAATCGCACGATCAATGAAAATTATCGACCTCAGTTGCATTTATCGGCTTTATCGTTTCTTCGTGTCTCTCTCTTTCCACTGAAGACACTGGATGACAAAAAGCTCGACTCGGCTCTTCACTGACCCCTCCCTTTCTCTTTTCTCTTTAAAATCTGTTATAACTGTCCAGAATCGTGTTTTTGGATCGTTAAAAGCAGCTTGCTGAAAAGCTAAGCTATGAGCTAAGCTAACAGACCGACCTTGGGGAAAAACCTCCGTATTGTCGAAGCTCCAAAATTCACGGTTGAAACCTGTGCCTTCGTGTAAAAAGTTGATTTTCTCTGAAAAAAAAGCTGAGAACTTGTTTACTGATTTTTTATTAAAAGCTTTGTGTGACAAATGATATGCTAAAGAGCTCAAACCACACTGAGCATCCGCCATTTTGAGAACCAAAGAGACAACCCATGTCACGTCAAGGGGCGTCTCTGCCATTTTTCTTAAAGAGACACGCTGCTCGCTCCCTCACTGTCCATCCTTTAGTTCAAACAGTCTTATACTGCCATACAGTGGTCAAAAAAGGTACTGCACACAAAACAAATTAAACATTTCTTTTTAAAGCATTGAGCATGCATCAGGATATTTCTTTTTAAATTTGACAATAATTACTAATTATTGTCAAATTTCAAACTATCATTTATCGCAATAATTTCCGAGACAATGAATCGCCCAGCAATCTTTTTTTATCGTGACAGGCTTAAACCCAGAGCCTCATGGAACCCACAGGCCAAGAGACAAGGACCAGCTGCAGCTGAACGCACATGAAGGCCTGCAGAGTCTCTGCTCACGTCCAGCTGCAGCTGAGCAACAAAATGAAGTGTTCAGAAATTCTGACGCTGGTCGGTGTGTCCTCAGAGAGCAGCTGGGCGGAGCCTGAGTGCATGTGTGGCCGAAATGCACAGAATGCAGCTGAGCGGCGAGAGACGGAGCGTGCCACAGAGCCGAGTGTCTGAGGGAGTGACAGGTGTGTCTGCAGGGCGTGCTGAACTGTGAGGCACAGAAGAGTGACACACTGAAGTGGTGTTTATCAGTTATGTATAGGGCTCAAAATAACACAGCACCATTAAATATCCTAAGAAATTTTGTTAAAAGACAAAGTTGTTATAATCTTAAGGGGATAGAGATATTTGTCAAACAAATTCAGAACTATTCTGAAGGGAAGGTCTACCTCAATCCAAGGAGTTGGATTGTGGAATGGTCTAGAGAGTGATGTTAAAAATGCCAAGTCAATGTGTACATTTAAGGAAAAGATCAAAGCTGAATTGTTAAAAAAAAATGAAGTAGCTTAGTGTCTGTTTGTATTGGAGTTAGAAAAATTAGAAAGAGTTATTCTTTTTGTTCTGTTACTTGAAAATTATTATGATTGAAATAATTGTTTGTAAAAAGGGGCAGATATAATAAGATTTTTTCTTCTTTCTGCTGCCTTTCATTTTAAATCTTTAGTATCTTTTTTTATATTGTTATGGAATTGTTTTGTACTTTTTTAAAATGAATAAACTTTATACCATACCATACCAAGTGGAGAGCACCCCCTACTGATGACCTGTGGGAAGTGCATGAACTGATGCTGCACTGGCACAGCCTTTCATTCGTTCGTTCGTTCATTCATTCATTCATTCATTCATTCATTCATTCATTCATTCATTCATTCAACCTTTATTTCTACAGGTTAGTCTCACTGAGCCACGAGGACTCATCTACAACAGAGACTAGTTTTAAATAAAGACGAGGTACAGACAATAAACATTCATAAAAAACAGACGTTACTTTGTTGTTGTTTTGTAAGTTTAGCAAACTGGTTGAGTCATTTTAGGAAGAAAAAAAAAAACGTATTTTGAGTTTTTATATTTAAGTAGTTTAACAAAAGTTTTTACAACCAGCAAGTCCTGCCCCTGCATTTTGAAAATCCTATGTTTGCACGTGCACAGCTTGAAAAACTGTAATCTATCTAGACTGTGCACATCGTTTCACTGCACACCCCAGCCTGTGTGGACCCACCTCTCCTTTAGGATTCAAAATACCTTTTAAATACAGGTGGGCAGATTTGGATCTCTTGATTTAATTATTATTAGTATTTATCCTAAACATAGTTAGACTTAAACATTTAAGGCTGCAGCTCTGGACGTTTTCTGAATAATTCTGGATCTCAGGTCAGAATAAAGTTTCAAACACACCATTTAAATCGGGCGTTAAGCAGCTAAAATACAGCGATTAGTTAGTTTGCAGGGTGGGCTGTGCTTTCTCTGCCAGCAGCCTTTCCCTCAACACGCCCACACCGAGTTTGTTTCAGTGACTGCAGGAGGAAAATAAACTAAGAGTAAGATAATGTTTTAATCTTCACTGATTGTGGTATAAAGCCAAAACTCAGCATTTTTCCACTACCACAGTGAGGAGAGTCCCGAGTGGATTCAAGAGCTCAGCAGGTCCCGGGTGGGCCCAGATCACCCAGTCCAGTGGCAGGTGAGGAGTTAAACTGGGGTAGTACAGCTGTCAAAGTGACCTACAGTAGCTCATCGTAACTCGGAGAGGAAACCTCCTGCGAAGCTGAATCTCTGCACCACAGCTGAGGAGTTAATTTTTACACACAACCCTTTTATTAAAAGTAAGTCCAGCTAGAAAAAAAGTGAGATTCTACAACTCATGATATTTGTGGTTCATATGATATAATTTGTAGATTTTTTTTTAAACCAATGTTTTAAATGCAAGTGTCAGACAGGCACTCTGTGACTTGCACAAGGACAATCAGGACCCCTGCACATGTACAAAACTTTTAGAAAACTTCTGTGTGACTGCTACAACCAATGAGATTTTGGCTTCAAGACCAGCAAAACCAATTTTTAAACTTCCTGCGCGGTCACTTCAGATTCAGAACTAGTTTAAAATCTTTATTTGGATTTGTAAAACTTAGTTTTCTGACTTGTCAGATTATAAACTCAGGTCCAGTGAAAAAAGACATTTTGTGTGACCACAAAGAAAATCTAAAGCACACAATGAGTCCGTTTTCTTCTTATGGTCCAGATTTGTGAAAGTCTTTCCTGAACAACAGGAAACAGCAGAGGGCTGATGAGATCAGGAGCAAACGACTTCTCCTTCAGTGACCGATGTGTCCTGTGCCCAAAGATAACTTCTGTTGGTGCAATACAAATACAGTGGGGAAATAAGTATTTGAACACCCTGCGACTTTGCAAGTTCTCCAACTTAGAAATCACGGAGGGGTCTGAAATTTTCATCTTAGGTGCATGTTCACTGTGAGAGACATAATCTCAAACAAAAATAAATAAAAAATAATCTGGAAATCACAATGTATGATTTATTTTTTAATAATTTGCAATAAGTATTTGAACACCTGTGAAAATCAATGCTAATATTTGGTACAGTATCTTTGTTTGCAGTGACAGAGGTCAAAGGTTTCCTGTAGTTTGTCACCAGGTTCACTGCAGCAGAGATTTTGGTCCATTCCTCCACAGATCTTCTCTAGATCAGCAGGTTTCTGGGCTGTCACTGAGAAACACGGAGTTTGAGCTCCCTCCAAAGATTTTCTATAGGGTTCAGGTCTGGAGACTGGCTAGTCCACTCCAGAACCTTGATGTGCTTCTTACGGAGCCACTCCTTGGTTCTCCTGGCTGTGTGCTTCGGGTCATTGTGATGTTGGAAGACCCAGCCACGACCCATCTTCAATGTTCTAACTGAGGGAACGAGGTTATTCCCCAACATCTCACAAAACATGGCCCCGGTCATCCTCTCCTTAATACAGTGCAGTCGTCCTGACCCATGTGCAGAAAAACACCCCCAAACCATGATGCTTCCACCCCCATGCTTCACAGTAGGGATGGTGTTCTTGGGATGGTACTCATCATTCTTTGTCCTCCAAACACGGCGAGTGGAATAAAGACCAAAAAGTTCTATTTTGGTCTCATGTGACCACAGAACTTTCTCCCATGACTCCTCTGGATCATCCAAATGGTCATGGACAAACTTCAGACGGGCCTGGACGTGTGCCGATTTAAGCAGGGGAACCTTCTGTGCCATGTATGATTTTAAACTATGACGTCTTAGTGTATTACCCACATTAACCATGGAAACAGTGGGGCCAGCTCTCTTCAGGTCATGGACCAGCTCCTCCCGTGTAGTTCTGGGCTGATTCCTCACCTTTCTTAGGATCATTGATTCGCCACGAGGTGAGATCTTGCATGGAGCCCCAGTCCAAGGGAGATTGACAGTCGTGTTTAGCTTCTTCCATTTTCTAATAATTGCTCCAACAGTTGATCTTTTTTCACCAAGCTGCTTGGCAGTTGCCTCGTAGCTCTTTCCAGCCTTGTGGAGGTCTACAATTTTGTCTCTGGTGTCTTTGGACAGCTCTTTGGTCTTAGCCATGTTAGTAGTTGGAGTCTTACTGATTGTGTGGGGTGGACAGGTGTCTTCATGCAGCTAACGACCTCAAACAGGCGCTTCTAATTTAGAATAATAAGTGGAGTGGAGGTGGACTTTTTAGAGGCGGACTAAGGGTGCATTCACACCAGCCCTGTTTAGTCCGCTTTAATCGAACTCTAGCTCGTTTTCCTAGAAAGTCCGGTTCGTTTAGGGAGGTGTGAACGCGCCATCGAACTTTGTCAAGGAAAAAAAAGGCGAACTCTGGCCCGGGCTAAAACCTAGGTCTTGGTCCGGTAGAAGAGAACTCCAGCGCGGTTCGAGTACAGTGTGAATGTAAACAGACCAGACCCGCTCCACAGGACAAACAAACACGCTTTGCTCTGACCTTATATGGAGCCGTCAGCTGCCTTGTGTGGAAAAACAATATTCTCCATGGTCTTCTGTCTCATCTTCTGCTCATGCTAAGTCCATTTTTGAAAAATGACAAAATATAACTCCTAAAACTGCTAAAACTTGATGCCACTTCGTTTTTATTTTTATTTACAGAAGAAGAAGAAGACGTGTCTTCAGAGGTTTTGTGTCGTTTCTTTCAGTAGTTCTTGGTGCAGCGCCCCCACAGGCGAGCGGGGGAACAGGTTGGTTCAACAGGTTGACTCGACTGCACAGTGCAGTGTGAATGCAAACGCACCAGCTCAAATGTAAACAAAAGGTCATGAATATTGGTCCCGAACCGAGTCTACCGGACTATCTGGTGTGAAAACGACCTAACAGGTCTTTGAGAGCCAGAATTGTTGCCGATTGGCAGCTGTTCAAATACTGATTTGCAGCAGTAACACAAATAAATTATTCAAAAAATCATACATTGTGATTTCCGGAATTTTTTTTAGATTACATCTCTCTCAGTGGACATGTACCTAAGATGAAAATTTCAGACCCCTCCATGATTTCTAAGTGGGAGAACTTGCAAAGTCACAGGATGTTCAAATACTTATTTTCCTCACTGTACATCTGTGTGTTTATACAGTCCATGTGCTTCTCCATTCATCTGTAGATTTCAGGGAGTTTCACTGCAGCTTTTAATAACTTTAACTGGACTTGAACATTTTAGATATTTATGTTTAATTTTGACATCTTCAGAGTGGTCACTTTATGCTGACTTAATATTTCATCTTTTTAAATTTATTGTTGGGATTTTCTTTCCATAAATTCAGGACATTAGTGACATTTCCTTGTAAAACAATTTTTTCAGTTCCATGTGTGACTGCAAATGTTGTTTTGTTCTAAACATATTCTTCATTCCTTTTAGTCTTTTATTGTATAAAAGCACAAACTGTGAGCTCCTCATTTAAATATGAAACTTTAAAAACGGGACAAAAACGTTTGTTTACTGTGTGTGTGTCAGGAGCCACTTTAGCAGCGTTACAATGACAGATGTTTTGAATTGAAATCTATCAGTCAGGTTTAAAAACATTAAAGGGTTTATAAACGTTAAATCAATGAGAAACTTTCAGTTTGTATCTTTGGGACCCAGTGAAGCACGAGACACTGACCTGAGCGATGGCCGCCTCGTTGTCTGCCAGACCCAACAGGAAAATCCGAGCCTTGTCGATCTTCACAGGAACGGCCCGTCCTCGCCACTCCACCTCGCTCATCGTGGCTGCCTGCTTTGTTCTTGCCTGAGTGATCAGGGCCTGAGTTTGGAAAAATAAAACCCAGGTTTAAAAACACATCATGATACTCTTCCATTATACATCCATATTAACAGTTTCCTGTGGGTTTACCTCTAGCTTCTCAGCCATCATGCCCCCTCCCCCCCCTGTCAGCCTCATCTGCATCAAGTCATTGATGGCATTCTGGTCACCTGAAGTTTTAACGCAAAGTAAAGTTTTAAAGTGTGTGTGGCAGAGGGAATACAAGGTTAGCACAGAAATGAGCGATGCCTCTGGAGAAGCACCAGAAAGACTGCAGAGGCTCACCGATGTTGTAAGCACAGTAGCGGATGTTGGGCGATATCTCGTCCACACGCTGACGATACAGAACAGCCAGGTCCTCAGTGAACGCACTGGCCAGTTTCTCATAAATGGTCCTAAACAAAGACACATTTGTTAATCAATGTTCATTAAAAACCTGAACATGACAAAAGACTGAACAGACAGACTTCTTTTGGCCACCGTCAAAAAAAAAACCAGTCGTCATGTCCCGATGAGACGTACTTGCACTTGTTGAAGGCCTCCATAGCAAGTTTCCACTTCTGCAGCTCAAAGTCCACCATCCCAGTCAGGTATGCGGTGTAGGCCTGGAATAAATAAAAATCAGATTTTCCAGTTAGGTATACACTTGTGGTTGTCTGTCAGCGTATGTAGATTGATTTTATCAGCACACCTGAGCCTCTAGTTTGGTCTTGGCGTCGACACGGGGGCTCTCGCAGAGCTTCTCCAGCTTCTCGCTGTGCTTGGCAGCTTTGCGTAATCGAGCCAGGAGGTGGAATCGCTTCCTTGGCTCTGTGTTGGCCTCTTGTTTCAGCTGCATGGCGTAGCTCCAGGCACGCTCTGCTTCCATCAAAACCAGTAAGAGATACCTGTGGTAAAGGGAGGCAGGGTTGACACTCGCACTGGTTGACTGCCACCATGTTTAGGACATAAAACAAGATCATAACTTAACTTTTGAAACGTTTTTCATGCAGGACTATTCTTTAAGCTTCAGGACCCCCTGGAATAAAATTAACTGCTACAAAATGTGACTTTCATGACTAAGGATGACTTGGATTTTGGTATAAAGGGCGCTTGATCTTGTCAACAGGGCAGTGCACCCTCCTTGGCTAACGGCAGGGGAAACACTGATATATAGATATCTGCCTGGCCAAAAAAAGTTGCCACCATTAAAGAAGTTCACACTAATATTTAATTGGTCCACCTTTAGCTTTGATGACATCATGCATTCACTGTGTCATTGTTTCAATAAGCTTCTGCAATGTCACAAGATCTGTTTCATCCAGTGCTGCATTCATTTTTCACCAAGATCTTTCATTGATGACTCAACACTAGTCATGATGGGTGCATCACTTCACCTGCCTCTCTTCTTACCCTGATGCACCATCACTCTGGAACAGGGTCAATCTGGACTCATCAGATCACATGACCTTCTTACATTGCTCCACAGTCCAATCTTTTTTTCCTAACACATTTCTTTCTTGAAGACGATGGGTCCCCACTATCCTTCCAGTTTTTAATAATGCGTTGGACAGTTTTTAACCACATTTTAGTTTCTTCAATCTCTTTAGATGTTTTCTCTGCTTGATGCCAATGATTTGACCCTTCTCAAACAGACTGACATCTTTTCCACCACCACGTCATGTGTCTTTCATCATGGTTGTTTAAGAAATGAGAAGCAACTCATTGCACCAGTTGGGGTTAAATAACTTGTTGCAGCTGAAAGATAATCGCTCACGCAGTAATTATCCAGTAGGAGGCTCATAAATATTTGTTTAGTTAAATCCAGGTGGCGACTTGTTTGTTTTTGGCCAGGCAGTGTATTTATATTTTCTAACATTTTAAATGTATGTAACATATGTGTAACAAACTGATACCTTCATGGTAAATGTCAACATACCCTGGTTTTTTAAAATGTTTTTATAAATTCAAACATTAAAAAATATTTCCCATCTTAAAACAATACTACAAAATTACATTGTCATTGTTTAGCAAAAACTAAGTCAAATTTAGAAGCAGTTTGTAAAAACAACAAGGTTTTACATGATTCAGTAGATTGTAGAACCAACCTTAGCTGCAGTAACTCTTGTTTTCTGTATGATTCTTTTTTTAAAACATTGCTTACTGTCTTGGCCCATGTGAACCTTCACAGCTTTGACTCTAATAAAATCCTTTGATTCTGTGGATTAAGACCAAAATTTTCCCATTGGTCTCATCTGTCCATAAGTGTTTCCTTCAGCGGTCTGATGTTTGCTCAGATGCAGCTTTGTAAAACAGAGACATGAGTATGGGAACAAATTTAGGCCTAAATATTTTGTGCTGGTAAATCAATTTTGTAACCTTGTAAAATAAATTTGTACTTCGTGCATGTGTAGACAGGAATGTATGTAAAAAAGATTTGTATTTGTAAAAAGTAATTATACAAGTTTCAGATCTTTTTGTGAAGGTCTGGTACAGATACAAAAAACAAACCAAAAAAACACTACGCGTAAAACTGCCAGTGAGTTTCATTTTACAAGTACAAATTATGACTAGTGTATTTTTTGGCCTATAAGTCATGGTTTTTTGCATAATTTACATGCCATGTGAATTACAGGCCAAAGCAACGTAGCCAATTTTTGGCTGAGATCTGACTGTTTCCATTCATTCTGACCAGGATATATATATATTTTTAATTGAGCAGTACCATTTTCAGCCACTAGATGGCAGCACAGTTACATCAGCTGTATGGCATGCCGTTGTATCATGTAATAGGTAAACGTGGCTATCATGACAAATTCAAAAAAGTTTAAGACAAAAACAACGGGACTTTATTATACTTTATTGTTTTTGTCTTGAACTTTTGTTGAATCTTGATGTTCTTGATGACTTCCTGTTGTGGGTGGAGCTGTACACAGGTGGGCACAATTGTTAATAAAAGGCCACAGGTTGCTCTGATGAGCACTGCACTCGGGCCAAAAGACAATTGAACGCTGTGTTGTTTTTTCCTCCATTACTTACCGGCATTTCCAGCCTTTTAAAGATGGCAGCGTCAACAGGTTATGGGCCCAGGAAGGAGTTTGGAAGCCAATGGAACGGTTTATGTTTTGATGGAGATGAAAAGAACTATGAGCTGTTGGCCCACTTGCGTTTGCTCGAGTTGAAGAGCACCATATTATTGAAGGATGAACCCGAGGACATGGAAGAAGACGTCACCAAACACGAAGAGGCATATGCAGAACTAATTCAAGTCTTGTCATGAGAGATGCTGCGGATGACGGCAGAAAAGCCTTAAAGATCCTCAGAGATCACTACGCTGGTACAGGGAAGCCACGAGTGATCAGTTTGCAGAGGCGGACTGGCCATCGGGAGCGCCGGGACAATTCCCGGTGGCCTGGTTGCCGAGGAACGGGACTAAAGGCTCGGTTCGGGTCGCACGGACTTTATTATTTTAAATAAACAATTCACTTTTGCCTGGGCTCAGGTCTCACGCTGCACTGCAGCGACGGAGAAAGCCTGGCACATCCCACGGCCGGGCCGGCCCCCTCCCTTCCTTTTCTGTGTGTCACTCACAGAGCAGAGACACACACACACACACATTGCGCCCGCCCCCCTCCCCGCCCTAGGACTCGCGCTCCCGACGGTGTTGGCGCGCGGTGCGTGCATCTCTGAGTTGTAGAATGGAGCAACAGAGACAGCCAAAGAAGAGGAAAGGTGGAGCAGAGAGAGAGAAGATAAAAAAGAGAAAAGCTCTGGCCGCGGATGCTGCTAAGTGCTATAAATTAATGTTTGTTCGTAATGGAGCAGGTAAGAGAAACACTTGTGTTGAAAAAATTGAACTCTGGCACAGTTTATCAGCACAGCTTAATATCCACATGCTAGCTTCACTTTGAGGGACCGAAGTGGGCCAAAACTGACTTAATATAACAAATGTTTTTAAGTTTTTACAAAGAATATTGCAAATTTTATAATATGGGTTAGGATCTGAAAAAAGTTTAATGTTGAAATGTCTAGGAATTCAGATTTTTTTGTATCTAAAAAAGTTAAGTCAGGTCCTCTGGACAAATAAAAAAAAAACTTGTTGAAACTTTTGTCTTTAATCCAAAAAACTAAGTTCAGTCTGAGGAGTTGCAACAAGCTCAGTTTCAAATAGCCTCTTCTCATAGTGGATCAACCAGTTTGTTGTTAACATCCAGAACTAGCTGTTAACATAAGGAAGACCTGCAGCCTAACAACCCCTAACAATGGTTTCTTTTCACAAAGATGGCTTCCTTTACTCCTCTCTCAAACCATAGTTCCTCTCTATCAAGGATGTGCACATCTTCATCCCTGAAAGTGACTGCTGGCCGGCAGATGAGTGTAAACTGCCGAGTCTTGGCCTGAAGATGTTGCTCTTCTGTGCTGGGCCAAAGAGCAACATCATCAGGCCAGGAGAACTCTGTGGTTTACACTCATCTGCAGGCCAGCAGTCACTTTCAGGGATGAAGATGTGCTCATCCTTGATAGAGAAGTGTTGGTTTGAGAGAGGAGTAAAGGAAGCCATCTTTGTGATGAGAACTCATCCATCATTAAACAGGGACAGAGGCCTCTGTGTCCAACTGTAGCCCTCTTACAATGCTGTTATTGCTGGTATCTCTCAGCCCCCTGTGAATAGCAAACAGCCTAGAGCACTAACGATCCATTGTTAGGCTGATGATGGTCCTCCTTTATCATGTTAACAGCTAGTTCTGGATGTCAGCAACAAACTGGTTGATCCACTATGAAAAGAGACTATTTGAAACTAAGTTTGTTGCAGCTTCTCAAACTGACAGTCTTTTGGATTAAAGACTAAACGTTTCAACAAGTTTTTTTTTTTTTTAATCTGTCCAGAGGACCTGACTTAACTTTTTTAGATTTTCTACCTGGATTATTGAGGATATTTTGTGTATACCCTTCATTACTCCAATAAATTATCTGAATATTAAAATCCTTGTATTACAATATTTTATTTAAACTTTATTTTTTTTTACAAAAGTGAGTAAAAATGTGTTTAATGTTTAAAATGTGTTTGATTTGATGGAGAATAAACAACACATCTGTAGTACAACACGATCTCTCATTTGTTGTATGAAACTATGATTGACTGTCATATTCCTAGTGATTTTAAAAGGCTTATGCATAGCAAAATATAGGGCAACATAATTTCAGTTTATGTGATTTGAGGACGGATTATTGCACCACAGAAGAAAGATTTATGTAGGTATTCAGTTAGACGTGTGCAAACAACATGCATTCAAAGTGCGCTCAATTGAACTCAGTCTTGGTGGTTTGCGTTAATCAGGTGGTGGTGGCCTGGGATGGTATCAAAATTCCCGGCCTGGATTATTGTCCCAGTCCGCCCCTGTCAGTTTGTATATGGAGTTGACGTCTCTTCAGAAAGGTGTTAATGACAGCATGACGGACTATATTATCCCTGCAGAGACTGCTATCACAGCGCTGCAGAATGCAGGCGAAGTTTTAAGTGATGGCCTACTGACAGCAATGATTTTAAAAGGCCTGCTTGAAGTGTTTAAACCATTCTCTGTTTATGTTGTGCAGAGTGATGAGGAGTTAACTTTTGCCCAATTTAAAATGAAACTGAGGAGCTATGAGAGCACAGAGAAGTTGTGTGTTGCTGGCTCAGCTGAAGATAGCGTGATGAAAGTTAAAGGAAGAGACAATTGGAGCACAAAACTCATCTGTTATAATTGTGGCCACAGAGGGCACAAAGCCCTGGAGTGTCCCAAAGCTGCAGACGAGCACAGAGAGCCCAAACAGTGGTGTAGTTTCTGCAAGAGCTCCACGCACAAGGATGCAAACTGCCGGTGGAAAAGGCGAGGAGACAAGGTGAAGCAAGCAGTGGATGAGGAGGACAACACGTTCGCTTTTAAGGTGAAGCAGATGGACGATGCGCTTTTAAGGTGAAGCAGATGGACGATGCCCAGATCTACAGCGTGAAGGTGAAGGGCCTCATGATTGACTCGGGAGCAACAAAGCACATTGTGACAGACGCTGAAAAATTCAAAGACTATGACTTGAATTTTAAGCCTCAGAGCCATGTTTTGGAGTTGGCTGATGGGAGTGAGGACCAGTGGCATCGCGATGAAGAAGGGCACCGCCAGAGTTCGCTTGAGAGACAGCAAAGGCCGAATTGTGGAGATGATGCTGATGGACACCTTATAAGTGCCATCATTTTCACAGGACGTCTGTGAAAATGACGTCTGGTTCAATTGGACAAAAGACAATTGAACGCCGTGTTGTTTTTTCCTCCGTTACTTACCGGCATTTTCAGCCCTTTAAAGATGGCACCATCAACAACTTTTTTGAATTCACCATGTCCTGGATGACTGAAAATCTTCACCAGATATTAATGACTCAATTGGCTTGCCACAGACCCCCCACCTTCGTTCTGCTCGCTGCTTGGAGCAAGTCAAACCAGCTGCACCGCATCGTCGTAATGCAGCTAATTTGACCATCAAAGTACATTTATTAAGCAAATGTTAGACTGAGACACACCTTTGTTATAGCAAACAAATAATTGTTTTTAAATGTTAATCTTGTTCAATTCTTGCTTAAGTCCTCCTGTGCACGCTCCCGTGGCCACCATTTGGCAGACCATCGATTTTTGGCACAACACCAGCCCACATTTCCAGGTTCGGTGCACATTTCTGAGTTGTCAGCGGAGATGCATAATAAATGCGACGCATCAGCGGTGACGTATAATAGATCCAACGTATACGGCGAAGGGACATAAGTATGGATTTTTCCACTTTTTTAGACATATTTGGACTGATGTGACTTATAGGACAGAGTGACAAGTATGGCGGAAAATACGGTATGTTTCTTACTGTCAGTTGATTTGTTAATGTCCTGTCGATCACAAATTTAAAGATCCAATCAGAGAACAGGTAGGTTTGGGCTGTCGGGTGGGGTGGAGCTTTAGATTCTAGAAAAGCATTACTTTATGGTTTAATGGAACAAAAACAAAATCATTGTCCAGTTAGGGCTGAACAATTAATTGCATTTGCAATAATATCGCAATATGATAAAACGAGATTTTCTAATCGCAAAGGCTGCGATTTGACTGGTCACATGATCTGGTTATGTGACTTGCGAGTGAGCGGAGCAAAGCAGAGCAGGAGAAGTCAACACTGCGTTTTAACTGGTTTCACAGTGGCATCCGGCTCGACAGAAGTCGATACATCTGAAAGTTTGGTACCAAAAACGAGCAGCACGTCCGTTGTTTGAATTATTTTGTCTATAAGAAAGAAGACACTGAGCACTGACATGTATTGTGCAGAACCTGCCTTGTTGCTGTTGCTACGTCTTGAGGTAACACCACAAATCTTTATCAACACTTAAAAACACACCACAAAGACATTTACAATAGTTGCATGACTAGAATACCAACGACCAGTGCTTCAACTTGAAGTAAGCAAAGTAGCAGCCGACAGGGATCACTGACCGAACTGTTTGAAGGTTTTACTCCGTATGAAGATAATTTGAAACGTCACACAGAAATAACTCGAGCAATAACGGAGTTCATAGTGAAAGACATGACGCCCGTTAATACACTGACCAGGCCTGGGTTTACAGCTTTGGTAAACACAGTGGATAAGTGGTACAGAATGCCCTCGCACACACATTTTAATCAAAGCTGCTATCCTGGAGCTATACAAAAAAAATGCAGGACAGAGTTGCAGCGGAGCTGAAAACAGTGGAGTTTTTTGCAACTGAAATAGATTTATTGCTTGTGTTCATTGAAAAATACATGAGAAGAAGACATTGAAAAATAATCACATATTAAATCGCAATATTGAGGTTGAAAAAAAAAAATCACTATGAGAATATTTTCCAAAATCGTTAAGCCCTACGTCCAAATATATATATTTCTGAAAATCATGTTAGGTTACTTTGGATATTTTTCAGCCACGTCACCCGCTAACTACCCTGACGGGCAAAACACTGTGGTGCACAACGATGAGCTGGAGTGATAAATAATGCTGGCGTGTGGAGGTGAGGAACAAGAAAATCTTAACAGCCACGGGAGTACACTCATATTTGTTGCAAACATTTGATCAAAGATTATGACGACATTGTGGTTTTTGATTCAGGTGTTTAGTTCTGTGTTTTTGTTGCTATGGTTTTATGTAATGGTTTAGTGGATGAGCTCCAATAACATAATGAGATAGTGTTGAAAACATGCTAATGCTAAGACAAGCTAAATGCTGTCAACATGGACTCGAAACTTTAACCGAAGCCAACTTTCATTTTTCATGACGTCATCGCTCTGTGTTCAAACACCACAGAGTTCTGTAAAACTGTAGTGGACTAGGCCTACGTCGAAACTAAGTCTAAGGTCAAAACTCTTGACCTTTAGAACCTTGTGGGACAGGAACTGTCATTTCATGTAGTTGAATACATAAATACAGGTTCACCCATCCTGAGACTTTCTTTCTTGAAGATTCAAGTGAAAAGAACACTCTCTTTTTATTATCATTACTATCTTACAAATGTTGATAATCAAAGTGTCTTAGTTCAAACCATTTTAGATGTTGCAGTGAACTAATCAATTTTATTAACTGAGTAATGATTTTTATTCTCATGCAGTTAGAACTCATGTTAAAAGCTGTTACAGAGTAATTATGCATTTTTCTGATTTCTGCTTTTGAATGAGCAAGTGTGTGCGTTTACAAGGTTACAGTCAAACGAAAAACAAGTTGTTATGTTAAAACTGTCATGTTTTAGAATCCTCTCAGACGTAAGTAGAGATGTTTTGCACCTGTTTCCTGAAACACGCCAAAACAAAACCCTCTCGGTCTGTGAGAACATTTCTGATCTGTCTCATAACAATTCTCGCTGTCTCTAACCTCTTACGTCACAAAACCCACCCCGTCTGGTCGTTTCTGACCAATGAACAAATCCCAAAAAGTGAACCGGGAAAGAGTCTTTAAAATGTCAGTACTTCCTGGTCTACACAGAGTTGGAGAGTTGTCGGAGTTCTAAGAGTTCTGAGAGCGTAGAGTAGGTGAGAGTCTACTCAAGTTCTGCTGAGTTCTGATGGAGTGCTGTTGGAGTTCCTGACATGACAACAAAGCTCTCCCGAGTTCCATGGGATTATAACATTTTCCACTGAGGTGAATATGTGTCGAACAGAGCCTCGCCATTACTTCGGACGAGTAACAGCATCCTACTGAGACGCTGAAAGGGTGCGTTAAACGGAATCTCACCTGAGACATCTCCAGGTAAAGGAGCCGATTTCATCACCTAAGTGTACTGTAAGGAAAAGCTGAAGAAAGCCGGAGAGTGTCGATTCTGGTGAACACTTAATTTCCCTCACATACCATCTTAACTCCCTCTAAACTTCTTTCCATCTTTAAACTTTTCTATCAAGTAGAAATTCTTCCAGATATTTAGAAATGTCTGTGTAAAATGCTCACCCACATTCATGTGGGCAAAAGATCATAGTTGTACAGTTTTCATAAATGTCTTTGGTGCAGCAACGGAAAAATCATGGCCGTATGATTTTTCCTGATTGATTGCTTTGTTGTTATTTTCATAATTTGCCAAATTAATGTACATGTTTGATGTTAAATTTGATTCTGTAAATAAATGACCGCATTCATTTTGATGGGTCAAATCTAAATGACGTCTCACGTTTGCATTTCCTTAAATTCAATGCACGTTTTATTCAGTCCAGAAAAATGAGGAACCCGCGTTAAATGATGAATATATCCCAGCATCTGTTCATCTACAAAACATTTATTGATTCATGCACACATAGCAACAGCACCAATCAGAACACAAGTCCAGTAAATGAAATTTGTGCCTGTTGATGAGACCAGGTTCTTTTTCTTTGGAACTCGTCTAAACAAGCCATAGTTGTTCAACCTAATTATTTTGTCATGAATATTATAAATTAAGATGCTCAGATGCAGATCGACAATGCATAAATATCCACATGACTGATCATGACCAACCTGCTGTCAGAAATCATTTCCACAGTGATTTTCTTTCCAACAAATTTGTGCCGGTTGCCCATCTTGAAACCGAGAGTCTTGCGAAGGCGACGCAGCCTACGGGAGCAGTAGCCCCTGTAAAATAAAATGCACAATTTGTATTTAATTAGGGAAAAATATACAAATACATTATACTGTAATTTTTTTTATTTTTTTTTTATTACTTTTATTTTAATTTTTTAAACCATTTTGTGTGTACACACACACGCACACACACACATTATATATATATATATATATATATATATATTACACTTGTAATTTTGTTTTTCCTAACTCAGTTATTCACACAACTACTGGTAGTATATCCTGATGCATGCTCAATAATCCAGGTAGAAAAATCTAAAAAAGTTAAATCGGGTCCTCTGGACATTCAAAAAAACAAAACAAAAAATTTTTTAGAAACGTTTCGTCTTTCATCCTAAAGACTTCCTCAGTCTGAGGTGCTGTGTTCAGCTCAGTCTTATAAAAAGCACCTTCTCAGTGGATCAACCAGTTTGCACTGGTACTATACTGTAGATTTTTCCAGCACAATTCATATAATGTGCAGTCATTTCTCAAATACCGTGCACATTGACATCTGGGACTGTCACAGAGCCAGAGGTGCACTAATTACAATTATATAAATATGCATTTCAATTTTGCAAATGGGAAAATCTACATGTGTGAAGGTTTTCTCAAGGTTAAATACATATGCTCTTGCATTGCAACATAAAAGTGTGCCTGGTTGGGCAATATACTACGTGTACTTGCAACTACAAGTTTCAGTAAAAGATTTATATAAAGTTTCCAATATATTGAAAAACAACAAGAGTAGTTTATGGAGCGACTTGGGTAAAATGTCACTGCAGAGCTACATCCCAGTGCACAAAATCAACAACGCTGAAAGAACATTATTTGCTGTGCTCACCTGTATCTTTGGTAATCGCCGTGTCTCAGGCCATGCTGTTGCTGGGACTCCTTGATGATTTGTAGGACTGTAAAGTTAAAGACAACAGACCGGCGCAACAACAACTTCATGGGGACCAGGAGGAACACGTCTCATTCATTCAGTCTGATGAATCTCATCTTAGCAACCAATAAAATCTGCACATAAATATAAAATTAGCAGCTGACGCTTTTAAAAGAATACAAGCTCAACATGAAACTGCCCACCACCTTAGAAAAAAAAAAACTTCTGTAATGTTAACGTGTTTTTCTTGACTCATAGCCTGCTTCAATATGACACGTAGCCTAAGAAGCTAGCATGAGCTTAAGCTAGGAATAGCTTTTCTAGAAAACTCTTCAGAGGAACAAAAAAATCATCTGACTCCCAGCACGCTGTAGAGTTAAGGATACTTTCCAAACCAAGCCCCCCTTCTGGAACATTTTCCTTAGTGTCGTCCGCAGAAGAAACTTTGGCTTCGTTTTGCTTGTCTGCGGCCATCTCTACAAGCTAACAGCTAAGCGGCAACACGTCGGTGCACGCACACGCATGCTCAGTCAGCTGACCAATCAGAGCGCAGGGACGAAACGTAAATCTCGCGAGACTTGCCTGAAGTACCGTTACTTCAGAGGATTAGCTTTAAAAGCTGTAATGGTAATAGTAAAAAACAATAAAATTGATGAATATATTGGAATAAAAAATTACGAAAATTTTCAGAAAATCTACACATTAACTGTTGTTTTATTGATGTTTCATTGAATTAATTGTTTAGCGTAGCTTTATATACTGTCTCCTTTTATACTTTAGCTATTGTTGGATGTAACTGGGACCTTGAGTACACAATTTCGTTCCACCTCATGTACCACATGTGATGCGAATGACAGTAAAGAACTTTGAATCATAAGTGCTGCAAACAACAAACAACAAAATGTTTATAACAAAGAGCAGTTCTGTTTATTATTCATAAGCATTTTGCAGTGTGGTAGTCTCTATACAGATAAACCTGATCTCACACAGAAAAAATACAAAACTTACACAACGTTTTGAAATAAATGTACTGCCAGGGGCATGTGTGATGGATCAGACTCCCCAAGTCATCCTTATTATAAACCAAAGACAAACATGGACTGCATGCACCTTATTCATCTTCAGTCTTAAAAGCAGCTCATCTGAGATCCACAAACACACGTTTCACAGTTGACTCACAGCTCTGTACTGAAGAAAATGCTTAGAGAATGGTCAAATTCAGAAGTTGTTGGCGGCAGAAATGTATCGGGAGAGGAAGTTTTTGATTTCTGAGATGTGCATGGTCTCCCTGATGGTTGTGTCTCTGCTGCGGACCTGGAGGAGGCCGCTCTCCAGCGTGTTCTCACTGATCACCACAGTGAAGAGAACTCCCATCTCATCATACCTGCAATGAAACGACACATAAGGTCAGGTGGAGACGTTTATTTACTTCTGCTGAACGACTGGGCCTGCAGAACAGTGGCACCAACAACAGCAGTAAGAACTTACTTGGCATTCAGCTGCTCCATCGATGTCGACAGAGTTTCACGGTATCCAGGCCACGCAGAGATGTTAGCTTCTAGAAACTCCTGCAGAAGACCATCACAAACCTACAAAGCAGGTTCAGAAGCTCATTATTAGTGTCCACAGCCAAAGAAGGTGATAATGTTTCTGTCAATGTCTGTTAGTGTGTTAGTAAAATATCTTATGAACCACAAATTTACAGACACTGGACAAATTTTAAAGAATCTTTCAAGAAATAATCATTAGTTATACATATACAAGTGGTTAACTAAAGGTTAAGTCTAAAACTCTGGCATGGAAGATGTGGATTCCTTCAATGTTCTTTTTTTATATCTTACCTCTATATTTTAACAAATAGACACCCAGTAAACAAGTTTAGTTCAATATTTCCACATTGATCTTATGACTGAAGGATGAACCTTTATTTATTCAGACAAATCTCATGAGATCACAGATCTATCTCTTTTGCAAGGGCAGCCTGGAGGCAGCCTAACATACCATACCACCACCAGGCCTTCATTTGTAAAACAATCGATGCCGGGACGTAAATAATGGGTGGGGGGCCCTGGGGAATGCGCATGCTCACAGGACAAGAACCTTACAAGTTATTTAATAACATTAAATATATTTTGTTAGCAAATAATAGAGTCCTAACATTTTTTAAACATTACTTCTGTATTTACAACCCCCACTCCAAAAAAAAAAAATAAAATAAAATAAAATTATGCTTTGACAAACTTATCGATAAAACTAAAACCTTTTGTCAATGCAAAAAAAGGGTGCAGGTATCACGCTCGCTTTGAGTTTATACTCTTTGTTGCATTAGTGCCGTGGGTGACGAGCGTCCAGAGCGTCATAAAAACAGCAGCAGAGGTGTCAGAGTTATTTATATATCTTCTCAGCAGCAGAGGGGAGTGACACGGTTCAAGCATGGCTCCCAAAACGACAAGACGGCCATGTTTTGTGCATAACTTTATTATTATTAAGCCTGAGCGTTGCCGGAACACACCCTGACAAAATAAGAGAGTTCCCGGATCTTGTTCCGGCAGGATCCGGCTCAAATTAAGCACTGCATACATTATTTATAAAGAACTTAAAAACAGCAACAAGGCCAACCAAAGTGCTGTACAGCAAAACAAACAAGCAAAGGACAGGATAAAATACATAAATCCACAGAGGTAAAGATAAGAACTAAATGACTAGCATTATAAAATACAGACAGGTTAAAATCAACTCAAAGTGTCAAAAGCCAGAAAATAAATGTGAGTTCTATTTCATATAGGCTTCGCCCTTTAAGGCTGTCGCTGATGGTTTATCCCGTTATGCGCAGCATAAGCACTGAAAAAAATTAGTCCACGCCCACCTGCTGTGTGGGCCCCACCCGGTCCGTATAAATTACGTTAAGAGCGGGAAATCGGTTCCCATTTTTTCTTCAGCGAGCTAATATAGCACTGTCAGAAGAACAAAGAAGATAAATTGTGTAAATGACCAACCTTGTGAAGGATGCTTGGCCCGGCAGTCGACCTCCGGTCGTCCGGTGAGTTCTCCTCCCCGAGGAGAAGATGACAGCAGTCTTATTCCAAGGTAAGCGTCCGGGAACATTTCCCAGTGACAGGTCATTACACGCTGGACAACGCCATCTTGTGTTTTTCCTCTTATCGCCGACCCTCGGGGCGAACCGGATGGTTCCTCCGGGGCAAGGTGTGCTCAGCTGCAGCCCCCGCTGCTCATTCCCTCCCGGGGAGCGTAGTGTAGGTGGAGGGGGGCTGAGTGAATGCTCACCCCATCCCACCTCGTTTCGCATCGGCGATCACACCGCTCCCGGCCGACAGCGCCCTCAGGGGTTGCCCGGCGGAACCCGGGAGGAGGCTGACATGAAGGGACCCCTTTTTTTCTACGTCCCTCGCCTTTTCCCGCCAGTTCGGATGATCGGCGGAAAGGTTATTTTTTCACTGACGTGTTTTTCCAGGCAGCCGCAGTTAGCAACAACGTGCGCTGCTAGCATATAGCATGTCCAAGGGACTGAAGGCCGCAGACCTGCCTTGGAGACAAAGAACTCCTTCTGTAAGGCAACTGACGCTATTCCTCGGTTCCCTCCCCTGGAGCCAAGCCTCGCGGAAGCTCCCGGAGCGAAGCTGTCCAGGTCGGAGCAGCGTCCCGTCCCTCCGGAGGAACCAGACGGCGACCAAAGCTCTCCAATCGAGCCCACCGACGTGTTTTCAGGCAACCGCAGTTAGCAACAACATGCGCTGCTAGCATTTAGCATGTCGAAAAGGCTGGAGACCTCACACCTGCCGGAGGAGACAAAGAGCTCCCTGTGTAATCGGCAGACGCCATCCTCAACATGTGCGCCGCTCCCTCGGTTTGCCTGTCGAGGATTGTAGCATGGATGACGGTAATCCAACGTTCCATCTGGCTCCGTCACTCTCCATTGCTGCCGGAAAAGCTGCACAAAGACCGGATGGAGGGCCCCATCTCATCGGACGCGCTGTTCGGAAGCAGCTTGACGTCCATGCTGACGAATTCGAAGCAGTCGGAGGAGACGTCGGAAGCTGTACGCCATCTCATCAAGCCGCGCGGCTCATTCCGTCCTCCAGCCCGCTGGAGAGATCGTCAAAAGCAGAGGCAGAAACATCGACGCTCCACGGCAGCAGCAGCTTCGTCTCGCCCAGCTCCACCACCAGCCCCGCCCGCCAGAGACCACCCCTCCTCAGTCCGGCAGCCTGCACTTCAGCGTTTTCCCCAGAGATCGCCTGCAGACGGCGCTCGGAGCAAACAAACCGCAGAGCTCACGGGGGAGAAGTTTTAAGAAATGACGGTCTGCGGAGGATGTGTGTATAAATGACACAGGAATTGAATAAATGATTTTTCAAAGATCAAAATGCCTGTTTTTAGCCAGTCTGTAAGCTCGGATGAGCTCACAGCCGCTACACACACATCCTCCACTCATAAGAGCCGGTGTCCTTAAATAAAGGTTTTTTAAATCCACCGCCGCTCCTTCACATGCCCAGACGCTCACGTGACACCACGGTAAGCGAAATAACTTGTTGTCAATCAGACCCGCACGATCACCTCCCAACGGTGTTAACGCGCTCCCGAGCGAGACAAGCAGCCTCCATCCAACGGCACTGTGTCGATGATGCACGCACAGCTGCCCGGCGCTCACCGGCCCACATCGGGATAAATGTGGGACCGCAGGCCGGGTCCGGTGGAGGTCCCTGCTCTCAGCGAAAACAACACACGCCTCTCCTGTATGAACGCGAGTGGCCGTCATCCACCGCGTCCCAGCGATCAGCAGCTCACGGCGGCATAAGCGTGAGACAGCTGAATGAATCTAATGACGGGCCCCGCCCTCAGCGAGAGCGGCGCGCGTCCCTCCAGAGGAAACGTGCGCTCCCGCGAGGCTCACAACCTTCACTTCATCAGCTGACACACGCCTCGCCTCAGCACACAGCTACCGCCCCGCCCGGACATGAAGGTTGGTCCGCGATCCAGTCACAGCGCGCGGGCGCGCGCAGAACAGCCCTTTCGAGAAAGCCTCGCCTTGGGTCACGCGGATAACATTTCCGCGACGCATGACGGCGGTCGAGGCGGAGGTTTGGATGACATCCGTTCAAAACACGGCACATCATTTAAACGCACGTCCACTCCACGAACGTCACGCAGAGTGGTTAAAAACATGCTCACCGGACAGATGGATGGACAGAGTGTTATGCAAGGGTTACACGCTGCAGTTTGCAACCCGACCCCCTCCGTTCGGAGGAGTTATAGAGACGGTCCTGTCATCACCAGACCAAGTCTCAGCCTTAAATGCAGAAGTCCAAGAGCTTCTGATAAAAGGTGTAATCTCAAGAGTTCCCAACGAGGAGGGAAACACAGGGTTTTACTCACGCTACTTCCTGGTCCCCAAAAGGACCGGAAGGATGAGACCGATTCTGGATCTGTCAGCTTTCAACAAAGCGATCATGAACAGATTTTTTTTTCACATGTTGATGAACAGACAGCTGTTGGACAACATCCAGGAAAACGTCTGGTTTGTCTCCATCGTTTTAAAAGATGCCTATTTTCACACACCAATCATCCCAAAACACAGAAAATTTCTGCGTTTCGCCTTTCAAGGGATGAAGTACCAGTACAACAGGTTGCCTTTTTTGGGTACTCCCTCGCGCCTCGTACGTTCTCAAAGTGTGTGGAGACAGCCCTGCATCCACTGCACAAGCAGGGATGAGAGTTTTGTTTTACCTGGACGACCTGCTGCCCCTGTCTCACTCCAGACAGGAAGCATTGATACAGGCTCAGGTGTTAGCATCACACCTGCTAAATCTGGGTTTCGCCATAACTGGAAGAAGAGCTCGATTTTCCCGGCCCAGATAATTGTTATCTGGGAGTGGAATTAAACTCAATTACCATGACGGCTCGTTTATCACAAACAAGAATCGACACTCTAAAAACCAATTACGCCACGTAAGACCTGGCAAAGTGGTAACAGCTGTCTCCGTCATGAAGCTGTTGGGTATGACGTCATCAGCTCACACAGTGGTCCCGCTGGGTTTGTTACACATGAGACGCCTCCAGAGGTGGTTTACGCGTCTGCGTGTGGATCCAGTAAAACAAAAGAGACGGATGATCACTGTCCCTCCCTCCATGGGAGCAGACCTCCGACACTGGGGAAACACCCTGGCTCTGTCAGAGGGAGTCCCCGTCAGCAGACCCACGTCACGTGTCAGTTTTCACGGACGCGTCTCTGTCAGGTTGGGGGGGGGAACATGCCTATCTCAAGCAGTAGGGGCGCTGTGGCCCCACCGCACATCAGCCCACATCAATTTTTTGGAGTGTCGCACAGTGCTGAATGTGATTCAACATTTTGCTCCCGTGCTACAGAATCAACACGTGTTGATTCACACAGACAACATGGTGACTGCTGCGTACATAAACCGCCAGGGGGGTGTGCGTTCAGCCCAGATGTTACACATTGCGCGGAAGCTACTGAGTTGGGTTCATCAAACCTGCTTTTATTAGAGCGGTTTACATATCCGATGTTCTGAACAGAGGGGCTGATGTGACGTCCAAGGGCGGCCCACGTTATGTGGACCGGATCCTCCATCCGGATCTGATGTTTTTCAGACACAGCAGAAGTTGGCAAAGCAGCTGTGGACCTGTTTGCGACGCGAGAAGAACGCGTAATGTCAACTACGGTTTTTTCCCTGAGCCCGCGAGACGATCCATCGCTGGGGGGGACGCATTTGCTCACAGTCGGTGGCCCAAAACGCTTTTTACGCGTTTCTTTTCCCTCACCTCCTCTGTTTTTTACGGTCCATGAACCGAATTCAGGAGGAGGGATTGACAGCTCTCCTGGTGGCTCCCGGCGTGTGAACGCACTGTGGTTCCCAGGCCTGCAACGTCTGTTGTGGGGTCGCCGTGGAACTGTCGTGGAGGAAGGATGCTCTCCTTCAGGCAGGAGGAGCGACCAAGAGTTACCCAGAAATAGGTCAACACCGGTGGGTTTGACCGCTGAGCGGTCCCACTTAGAGGATGGGTCTCCCTCAGGAGATAGTGTGCACAATTCAAGATTCACGTGCTGCATCTACCACAGTTCTGTACACATCAAGGGTACGGCTTTTCAGCGCTGGTGTACAGAGAAGGTTTAGAGACCACTTCATGTTTTTTAGGCAGCGTGTTGTTTTTCTACAACACCTGATGGATAGGGAGTTGGCTTTCAGTACGCTTTAACGTACGTTGCAGCCATCTCTTCCTGCCACAAAGGGTTTGGAGACAGAACAGCTTTTAATCACCCGCTGATGAAGCGGTTTCTAAAAGGTGTTCAGAGATGTAGGCCTTTTCATGCCCACTTGTTCCACAGTGGGATTTAACGCTGGTCCTGCGAGCCCTGATCAAAGCTTCAATTGAGCCTCTGGATCAGTTTTCATTTAAATTCTTGTCTCTTTAAACAGTCCTGCTGCTGGTTTTAACACCCGCTAAGAGGGTAAGTAATTATCTGCCCTCTCTGTTGTTTCGTCATGCCTTAGAATTAGGCTGACGGGCAGCTCAGCTGTTTTAAGACCAACCCAGCTTTTATGCCTAAAACATCACGAGCTCTTTTAAATCAAGAGTGATATCGTTGGAGGGGTCTTTTCCCCCCCACAGATCAGAAGGGGAAGCATCTGTTCATCTTCTCTGCCCGATGCAGGCGTTGACGTGTTACGTAACGCGCACAGCTGCAATGCGTTCAAATTCAACAATTGTTTGTGCATTATAGAGATGCTTCTGCAGGTCGCCGTTATCCATCCAGCGCTTGTCACACTGGCTGTGTGAGGCCTTTTTCTGAAGCCTACAGAGCATCAGATTTAGGGCCTCCTGTCAACCTCTAAGCACACTCGACCAGGGGTATCGCATCTTCGACTGCTCTGCATAATGGTATGTCAATGCAGGACATTTGCACTGCGGCTGCATGGTCAACACCCTGCTCATTTATTCGCTTTTACCTACGTGATGTAACGGCTCGTTCCATGACACATTCTGTCCTTAGTGCCCTAACAGAATGAATATTGTTGTTCTCATGGAACTCTGTTTAAGCTCACTTCTGTCTGCATGCATTACAGTGTGAGATGTTGTTTTCAGTCACAGTCGTGTCTGTGATTTTGGTTCTATTGTCACTAATCAGTTCATGATTATTGTTAACAATCAGTTCATTTGATTATTGATCAATTCATGGACATTAATCTGTTTATACTGTTCAGCCATGAACCAGTTGGTTCATGCCCCCCCCCCTCTTTTCAACTTCTTCTTCATGTTGAAAGTTTTTCCGGGGTATTCATGTTTGTCAGAACGCATAGTTACACAACATGCGTCTGTGCATGGCACATAATTACGCGATGCGTAGTTTATGCACACGGGGAGCTGAGTGACAAGACGTTTTTTGGGCAAGCTTCCGCTTCTTACTGTGTTCGAATGGACCCAGTGAGGCGAGGACCACATCCGCTTCGCCCTTAAACCATCAGCGACAGCCTTAAAGGGCGAAGCCTATATGAAATAGAACGTTGGTTACGTACTGTAACCCCAGATTCTATGAATATAGGCGTAGCCCTTTAAGCGTCGGGCCTCACTGGCTCCTAAATGGCTGAAGAAAAAGCTATTTTGGGAGCCGATTTCCCGCTCTTAACGTAATTTATACGGACCGGGTGGGGCCCACACAGCAGGTGGGCGTGGACTAATTTTTTTCAGTGCTTATGCTGCGCATAACGGGATAAACCATCAGCGACAGCCTTAAAGGGCTACGCCTATATTCATAGAATCTGGGGTTACAGTACGTAACCAACGTTTTTAAACACGACTTATAAACAGTGAGAGAAGGGATCTGTCTGACATGCAGTGGCAACTCATTCCACAGTTTTGGACCTGCAACAGAGAAGGTCCTGTCACCTCTGAGCTTAAAACGAGTAACTGGAACCAATGAAAGAATCTGCTGACCTCAGAGAGCGCTGTGGGACATATGGCTGCAGCAGATCAGTGAGATAAGAGGGGGCAGAACTGTTCAGAGATTTAAAAACATACAGAAGGATTTTAAAATGAATTCGAAAGTGAACCAGGAGCCAGTCAAGGGAGGCCAGAACTGGAGTAATGTGCTTTTTTTGCCCGTTCCAGTTAAAAATCAGGCTGCATCATTTTGAACCAGTTGTAAACGTGCAATAGAGGTCCGATCCCAAAAAGAAGTGCATTGCACTAATCAAGCCTGGATGTTATGAATGCACGTATAACTGTCTCAAGGTTACTTTGCATGCAGGTTTTTGGACTGTGGGAGGAAACCGGAGTACCCGGAGATAACCCACAAGGAGAACATGCAAACTCCACACAGGAAGACCCTGGTCCAGACTGGGAATTGAACCAACAACCTTCTTGCTCTGAGGGAACAGTGTTTCCCCTAGTTAACTTGCCATGGTGTGGTGCTCATTTCATCCACGATTTTTGTTGTGTGTGTGGGGGGGGGGGGCGGAGACATGTCTGAGCGCAGCTTGTACCAACAGTTTTTGAGCGGGGGCAGGAGGTGTTCAGCATAAGGGAAGAGGCGACTTTATCTTTTTAGCTAGAGCGCCTGTATTGTGCACTGCTAGCTTAGTGCGACACATTTGTGTTGTGCGCTGTTTATACAGTTTTTGAGTGTGTGTGTGTGTGTGTGTGTGTGTGTGTGGGGGGGGGGTGTTCAGCTTGAGAGAAGAGGCAACGTGTACACTGTCTTTAGCTTTTTAGCTAGAGAGCCTGTATTTTGCGCCGCTAGCTTAGTGCTATGTCAGTGCCGAGTGGGGGTGTGGGGTGCTCAGTTCTGTTGACGGGGCGGGACACTCCCCTTGTATAATGATAGGGGAAACACTGGGCAATATTGCTAACCAGTAAATCAGTGTGGTGCTGAAAGAAGTTTTCATTTTTTACTGTAGATTAAATGCTGACTCAGAGAGAGTTTATCAAAACAAACAAGGAGAGCACCCAGTTAGTGACGCGTTATGAGTATCAAGTTTCTCTTACCTGTCTCAGCTCCACAGTTGGTCCTCTTCCAATGTCTACAGCAACTTTGACTGGAGCCAACACTGGATGCAACTTCAGAACCTGAAATCCAACAGTGAACCAAAAGCAAGTCACTCACAGGAGTGTGAAGAGTAGGAGCCAGAAAGAAGGTCTCAGATAATCAACCTTTCTCTGCTGCAGCTTCTTTTTGCCTTCTTCACTCTTGAGCTGCTGAAATGAGTTGGACAGAAAAGCCATCATGCCCCGGTCGATGTTCCCGCCAACAGAGACGACATGAGGAACTGACTTCCGACCGTCACGGTACTGAAACACATGGAAAAAGTCCAGTGCTTTAATGCAGGATTTCACCAAAGAACGCTCCGATGGTAAATAATTGTTTCTTAAATTACAACTATAACTCAGAACAAGATATACATGAAATACTAGAAGGATTTTGTGATTTAATTCAACATTTACTTTATTGTCATTTCAGTTGTTTATTTATATTCATGTATTACAGTCCTGTAACACATTAACAAAAAGTTCATCACCTGTAACTGGAAAACAGCTTTTCACTTTTCACTGGTCATTAATTGTTCTGTCCCAGACATTTTTATTGTATTTTAAGTTAAAAATGCAGGAACATACAGTCATGGAAAATACACATCATTGGCAGCTGTCCTAAACATTTTCTCTGTAGAACGATGGACTCCAAGCTGTTAGGTAATGACCTTTGACCCTTCTCAGACTGACATGTTCACACTCAATGCTCAGGTCTTTCCTCTTTGTGTGAACACATCTTCAAGCTCCAAAGCAGAAAAGGCTGAAAAACAATTAAACTAATGAATAAAAAATGCATGTGCTGTCCCTCCTCATGATATTAAAAAAGGGATGCAGCAGAATTATTTGTTTGAGAGAGAGAGTACACACAAGATCGACGGATCTGGTTCCACCTGCTCTGCTCCCTTCATAAGCTCCATGCTCACACTCCACCAGTGCCAGATTACTGAAAGCTTTTGTTTTATATATAACACTTAAAGCTTTTTCAATACTAATTAGACCTTCACCATAGGGCTGGGCCATATCATATCGTTCACGATAATACCGGTAAAAAAAAGCTTGCCCATGAAAATAAATGATATCATGATAAGATAATTTCATGAAGTAATACGTCAGGATGCCCCGCCCCGTTAACAGAACCGAGCGCGCCGAACTACCGAACCAAACTGCGCATCCCCCAACCTGTCGGTACTGGTGTGACGCTAATTAGCTGGGCCCAGTACTAGCTAGCTAAAATGCTAAAAACAAACAACATGTGGCTCAGCTGTGTTTCTCCATCCAGCTCTAAACTGCAGGTACAGACAGTGAAAACTCAACTGTCTCTCCCTCCCCCCAACCAATGCAGCTCGGCTTTTTGTCTCTCCCCCCCCTCCCGCTCTGCTACCGGTGCAGGCGCAGTGGGTCCACCCCCCGCTCTAAACTGCTGGTACAAACACGCACAGCTCAGCTGTCTCTTGAGTTCCACAGTCCATGGACCAAGAACAGAGTCAGGTGATCAGAGACAGAGCATCAGAGAAATTAACTAGAAAGTTCCTGGAGAAACGTTGAAAGGGACTGCCTATTTATAATTAAATTATTATTAATAATAAATATTAATGATTATTAATATTAATAATTAATCCTGATTATTAATAGTATTAATTAAGTATATATTGTTAATTTCATTAATTAAATAAAAAAATCAATATTAATAATATTTACACCAATAATTAGTATCAATTTTAAATATTACTTATTAATATTAATAATTATTGATATTAAAACAGATACTTATTAACATTAATAATTAATATTTATTATTAATAATAATAATAATAATAGGTGATAATGGGTAATAATAGGTGCCTTCCATGCATTGCATAATGCACTGCTTTCCTTGCATGTTGAACCAAAATGGCTCCATATGTTACTCTGTTTCTGTGAAGAGTTTTCTCCTATTCATTTCCTATGGTAAATTTGGCATCTTTGTTAGCAAAATATGTCGCCATGGTAACTGCGAATGCCAATAAAAGTAAGTGCACACTTCCCGGAGCCGGGCCGGTTGTTTTGATATAACTTTTGTGGAGGTCCACGTTGCGGTTCGGGCCACATTAATGTTGAAAAATATACGCTTTTCAGGTGTAGAATAATAAGTGGGCAGTCACCAACTAGTTCCTGGAGTTGATGAAATATTGCGTCTTTGTTCGCAAATTACATCGCCATGGTAACTCGAAATGCAACAAAAGTAATAGCACACATCACGGGGCCGGGCCGGTCGTTTTGATATAACTTTTGTGGGAGTAGACGCTGTGGTTCGGGCCGCATTAACAGAGATAGAAATGTAGACTCACTTCCGAGGTGTAGAATAACAGGTGCGCCCCAATCATTCCTGCGGGTACAGAGGAAGCTGAAACTCCACAAGCTTCAGGGTCAACAGATCACCTTGTTACAAGTTCTGGAAGTTATAGCTCATTTAAAGGAAACATACATTTTGTTGTATGTTACATTTATGCTCAACAGAGCTTAAGCTTCATTTTATTTAGTTATTTTGGGAAACTTCACCTGCACTTTCGTTTTTGTGGTGGATTTATTGATCTATATTTTGTGCAGACTTTTTCAATCTAAATAACAGAAGTATCTTTTTTATTTTTATACATTGAAACTTAATACTTTACTAAATAAAGTAATTTCAGTACAATTAACCCTTGTTGTTTTAGTTTGTATATAATACTGCAAAGCGACATGTTAAATTAATTTTGTCAAATGAATAACTATGATTTCTGCTTTTTTTGTTATATCACAAAATGTATTGTTATTGTCAGAATGCTCTGAAATATCACAATATTATATTTGAGCCATATTGCCCAGCCGTACTTCACAGTATGTGACTCACTGTTTAAACAATGAAGAGGAAGGATGTTTCTTTAATTTATATTTTTTAACTCTCTTAATAACTTTATGGTGAACAGTGGAGGATAGAAAATATGAACGCACGTTAGGAAGACTGTTTCAAGACTTCATGTGTTAAAACAGGTTAGTAGCTGTTTACTGAGATTATTGGTGGTGGACAAAGTTTTAAACATTTCAGCCATTATATCTGTTATTGGTTACTGGTATGAACCCTCCACTCCCAATATCGGTATAGCCAAGAGTCTAAATTTCTACATCAGTCAGACTCTACAATCGAACTACAAACTGTGGTCAGAAGAAAAGTGGACATCGGCCTAAATGTATTAAATCAAACAAATGTCTGAACCTACTCGTGTCTTCTCTGAGTAACGTTCATGTTCCCTCCACTCAGACCACTAACAACAAAACTAAAGTAGATGGTTCGATCCCATCAGGAATTAGAAAAACATCCTCAATTTTCTTTTCTTTTTTTAAAAGGCTGCATTTTCGGCCCAAAGCACAGTAGCTGAATTCAGTAGCTTCTGCTGGAGTACCAGCAGCTCAGTGTAGGAACATCTTAATGAAAACACAGCAGAAGGTACAAGGAGTGAATGTGGAGACAAGGCCGACCTGCAGCTTGGAGCGGACCGCTCCATGTGTGTGTAGCAGCTCGGCGTCTCCTCGACACCACAGCGTCTCCAGAGACTCAGGCCCCCACGGAAAGTTGTAGAGGATCTTCACCCCTCGGGATGCTGCCTCCTCCAGCTCGCCCTCTGGAACCTCGCTGCTGCTGAAGTCAGACGGGGACAAGGCAAACTAGGCGGAGCGAATCAAAAGACCAAATGAAAACAAGATTAATGGTGAAATCCAAAACACTGTCTGCCCACAGCATGTCCTGTGACAATAATCTGATCATATTAATCCAGACAGCTTCCGATTGTTTTGCATAAACGACTTTTGTCATAAAGGACCGTCTCCGTTCAAGTGTTTAACAAACAAAACAAATATTTCAAGTTTGCATCATCATTTTGAGGTGGTGCTTTAACATTTTCTTTTCAAATTAGTTTAAGTAGCACCCCATGTGCTTTGCAGGGTTCCCTCCCTATTAAGGGTGGCACGATACCAGTTTTTATCAAAACGAGTACAAGTACAAGTACTTCGGTTTGTGTACTCACCGATACCAAGTACTGATACCAAGTACTTACTGAGTTAGAACATAAAAATTACACATTAAAAACACGTCTTTTATTTGGAACAAAGTGGCTTGTCCTTACTTAGAGCCCTACAGTCCCAGAGTAAGCTAAAGTGGAGGGTTTAAAATCAACTCTTCTACGTCCGACAGAAACCACTTCAGCTCCTGGCTAACAGCCAGCTGGAGGGTGTGAGCAACACACGGGAGGCCAGCATCACTCAGAGCCTTTACCATGATTTTAGCATCGTCTCTGAGCATAACAGAGAGAACTTTTAGGAACAGCCCACGTCTGAAGCGTTTCATCAAATGCACGTGCTATGGCTCTGTTAGTGTGTGAACATGAAGCTGCTCTGCCTGGAACGCTCTGGAGTCACATCTTCAACAGTCCACTGCGCAGTTAAACTAATCACAGATAATGGACGTACGCTGCTCGTCCAAACATCAGAGTCAAACTGAATGTAGAAACTTCCTGCAACAGGCTGATGTGTTTTGTTCTACAAAGTCAAACATCTTCGGCAAAGTGGCGGCTGGAAATGTCGTGCCGAGGCGCCAATATGTTGAAAAGGCGACAAAATCCAGAATCGTCCACCACTGAAAACTGCTGGTGGTCAAGAGCAACGAACTGGGTAGGAGCTTCAGTTTTAACCGCATGTCCATAGTCTGGAGCCATTGATCACGTTTCTGGAGAACTTGCTGCAGTGTTGGTTGTGATTAGGTGCTGAACAGACTATTAGATTAATCGACTAGTTGATTCTGGGGCATCTTGGGAGTTTTTATATTTCATGTCGACTAGTCATACCCCGCACACGCACGCACCTGATGATCCAGTTTGGATCACCACCACGCGCTGACCGGCCGGTTAAAAGACGTACAAAAAACTCCAGATGGATCACTGCCAGACACACCTGAAGCTTTCCGGCTGCTGCGGACACGTGCGACCAACAACCGTTGATAACTAAAATAACTATAACATTATAATAAGGTGTACCACCACCACCCACCCCACTGCCCTTAGTTCCAGTCCACCCAGTATAAACGGTATCGGTCCCAGGTATCGGGGCATTTTTTACGAGCAAGAATACTTGTAAAAATACTGGTATCAGGCCCGATACAGCCACCGCTAGTTCCTGTATTTATTTCATCATAAAATCCCAAACTGTTAAACTTTCTGTGGACTCTTCAGCCTTTTTCTCTTGATTTCCAGTTCAAACATGTTGTGGCACAGCTGACATGCTTGATCTAAAAATGGCTCCCCGACGCTCTTTAAACTGGCAGCTGGGGTAAAATATTTGCTAGTTATAAATAATGTGTATTTCTGTGTTTTGAAGGATGAATGCTGAGTTTGGTTCTGAAACCATAGACAGTGACCTATCAGGCAAAGAAAAGGGTTAAACCTATTTTGGTTTTTAGAACATGCATGCCCAAAATATTTAACTTGAGACTTTCAGAGTCCTAAAGTTTGATCAAAAACTGCTTCTGTTCATCAACTTCTCTTACATTATTTTGTTCATATTTCAGGATCTTGTGGGATGAAAGGTAACTGTTCAGACCAAATGTTGCCAGGTGTGGTCTAAAGTCTCCCCCTGCGTGTGTTTTGGAGGACCGCTGCCTGAAACGCTCACCTTCCGCCACCACTTGAGCCTCTGTCGAGCCCAGTGGTCCAGCCACTGGGAGGAGGAGCGGGGAGAGCAGAACCACACTAGAGATGTCTGGGTGACCTCCGCTGAGCTGTCAGAAAATATAAAGATTATGCCAACAGATTACAAGGTGCTCAATATATTCAACTGGAAATTGAAGGGGCATCTTTTACACAAAATACAGTAATGCATATAATCATCGTTTGGATACAGATGTGCCAAAACAGAATTCACTCCAACAACTGAATCGACAGCTGCATCAAATCTGACTCCATCACAGTCAGTGAGGGCTTCCTGGCTGACTGCAGAGTTTACTGCAGGGCTGCCATTAAAAACTGGTCCCAGTGACAGAATCAGATAGAGATATATAATAATACATGTTGAGGTTTCCTCTAGATGCTTGTGGAATCTTGTGTCTTTACTTACTGTAGCTTAATTTAATGACAGATATTCTTCAAAACTGGAAGAACTTTAAAGTTCAGCATCCTTCAGCTTCAAGCTAGCTTCTGCAGAAGATGAACTTTTCTTGACAAGAAGACAAGTTTCAGGCGAGCCGACTCGCTCTGATGACACGCACGCAGCTGGATATGTCATTGATTCCTGGAGCGATTGGAAGGTGGTGTGTCTATCTCTGCTGTCCATCATAATGAAGACGTATATATAATTGGATTTCTGATAACAGGTTTCCTGCTTTTTGGAATCGGCTGGTTCCTGGTTCATCAACAAACAAGGAAGTCGTCAGCAACAAATTTGGCCCCGGCCAGGCTGCCTGTCTTATGTGATGGTTTGCTCCGTGCCTCGAGCACCCAGACTCAATTGCTTTGCGTATTGATTCATTGGCAGGATGGTTCAGATCTTGGGGAATACACTCAGGCACGGACCAGTGGTGTGTCCACTTAATTTGGTTGTTTGGGATTTGTGAGGACCAGAAAAGACTCAAGGCAGACATGAATCATTAAAGTTCTGTCTGCTACTAAAACAAATGTTTATCTGAATTCGGCTCCCCGGCTGGCCTTGACAGGCCACCTTATCTCAGTTCACCTGGAGTCTCTGTAAATTTGATGCTCTGCCCCCTCTCCTCCCACCAAGGAAGTCTGTGGACCTATCAGAGGGACCCTGCTGAATAAACATTGTCATCATTTCAGGACTCTTGGATTCTCTCTGGCGCTGTCCTAGGTCGACCACGGCACGAGTGTTTACAGATCTCACCAGAGGGAACTGACTGATTGTACCATTCTTATCAAAACCCGTACAGAGCCTCTGGAGCAGGGGTTGGGAACCTATGGCTTGCAAGCCAGATGTGGCTCTTTTGATGGCTGCATCTAGCTCGCAGACAAATCTTTAATTAAAAAAAAAATAATAACGATAAAAATATAAGATGGTCGCGGGTGGCTGGAGCCAATCACAGCTGTCCGCGGGTGGCTGGAGCCAATTGGATAATGCGTCGTACATGGGTGACGTGGTCAGGAAGTAAATTTCCTTAATAGCAGCTAGCTAGCTAGTTGCGGAAACGTGTCAATGAAGATGGCTAAAAGGAAACGAGATGAGGAGTATCGTACTTTTCAGCAGGAATGGACAGAGGAATTCGCTTTTGTGGAGAGAGCAGGTTTTGCAGTGTGTCTAATATGCAATGATAAAATTGCATTGATGAAACGTTCAAATATAAAGCGGCACTTCGACACACGCCATGCTACATTTGCATCAAAATATCCTGCGGGGGACAGCAGAAAGAAAGCATGTGAAGAGCTACTGTGCAAAGTGCAAACTAGTCAGCAGCAACTCCGTGTTTGGACCCAACAAGGTGACTGGAATTCGGCTAGTTTTGCTGGTGCTTTAGCAATTGTGAGAAACGGAAAGCCATTCACAGATGGTGAGTATGCCAAAAACATTCATGCTTGATGTTGCCAGTGAACTTTTTGACGACTTTTCGGATAAAGACAAGATAATTAAACGAATAAAAGACATGCCTCTGTCGGCAAGAACTGTTCATGATCGTACCATCATGATGGCAAATCAAATTGAGGCAACACAAGTGACGGACAAAAATGCAGCAACATTCTTTTCTCTCACTTTGGATGAGTCAACAGACCATTTAAGCCATTTATCCCAGTTCAGCGTGATTGCAAGGTATGCTGTCGGTGACGCACTACGTGAGGAAAGTCTTGCTGTTTTGCCTCTGAAAGAGACAACAAGAGGGGAGGATTTGTTAAGGCTTTCACTGAGTTTGCTAAAGAAAAAATCTACCGATGGATAAACTTATTTCAGTGTGTACTGATGGTGCTCCGTGCATGGTGGGGAAAAACAGAGGATTCGTAGCACTGCTTCGTGAACATGAAAAGAGACCCATCCTAAGTTTTCACTGCATCCTACATCAGGAGGCGCTTCGTGCTCAGATGTGTAGCGAGCAGCTTGGTGAGGTGATGTCGCTGGTCATTCAGGTGGTCAACTTTATTGTTGCCCGAGCTTTAAATGATGGCCAGTTTAAAGCACTGCTGGAAGAAGTTGGGAATAATAATCCTGGTCTGCTCCTGCACAGTAATGTGCGTTGGTTGTCAAGAGGGAAGGTGCTCAGCCGTTTTGCGGCTTGTCTGAGTGAAATCCGGACTTTTCTTTAAATGAAAAACGTCCAGCATCCTGAGTTGGCTAACACTGAGTGGCTCCTGAAGTTCTACTATCTCGTGGACATGACTGAACATCTGAACCAGCTCAATGTGAAAATGCAAGGCGCTGAAAATACAGTCTTATCCCTTCAAAAAGCAGTGTTTGCATTTGAAAACAAGCTAGAACTCTTCATTGCCGACATTGAAACAGGTCGTTTACTACACTTTGAAAAACTGGGAGAGTTTAAAGATGCATGCACAGCAAGTGACCCTGCTCAACATCTTGATCTTCAGCAGCTAGCGGGCTTCACATCTAATCTCCTGCAGTCATTCAAAGCACGCTTTGGAGAATTTCGTGAGCGCACTCGTCTTTTTAAGTTCATCACCCATCCACACGAGTGTGCAGTGGACAGCGCCGACCTAAGTTACATCCCCGGTGTCTCCGTCAGAGAGTTTGAGCTACAAGCTGCTGACCTGAAGGCCTCAGACATGTGGATGAATAAGTTCAAGTCACTGAATGAAGATTTGGAAAGACTTGCACGACAGCAAGCAGAGTTGGTGAGCCAACACTAGTGGGGAAAATTGAAAAAACTTAAACCCGCGGACCAGCTGATTGTCAAAACTTGGAACGCGGATGGAAGTCTGAACGCCTGCATGAAGCTTAACCTCACTACATATTAACCAGACTACAAAGTCATCAGCAAAACCAAGCAGCACAAGAAGTCGCATTAATGGTAAGAAATACTTTATTTATCACCATTAACACGGCATAACAATGTTATTTAAAATAATTCAGAGGCTTATTGTACTTTTAAAAGTGTTGGTCTTACATAAAAATGCACACATTTACTTGTATTTAGTTTAAAAATATATAGTATGGCTCTCACAGAATTACATTTTAAAATATGTGGCGTTTATGGCTCTCTCAGCCAAAAAGGTTCCCTACCCCTGCTCTGGAGTGTCCTTGGACACACTCACTGCCCTTGATGTCTCCCCTCCCCCACAGAATGTCTGCGTCACTATGTGCAGGGTGTTTTTGTTCAATTTCAGGCTCTCTGTCCTCGGCCAAGGAATGAAAGTCTGTTGGGAAATTTCTGACTCCTAATCCTATACATGTGTCACTTTCATTATTGTTTTGTCTGTCTAAAAAGATCTCACTTGTAAATGAGTCTTTGAGGCTCAATGTGATTTATCTGTATAAATAAAGGTTGAAAGAAAGAAAACTTGTGTCTTGCTCTGGTTATTGACATTAAACTGACTTTGTCTTCTCCTGCAGGCAGCACATTATTCTTTTCTGCCCGAGAAGAAGAACGCTCGCAGGTTTGAAGATGGCTGTTCAAACTGTGACTCCTCCCATCTGTCGTGCAGAGACCAACAGCAAGCTGAAGGAGCCGAGGCTTTGTTCAGGTCAACAGTCTGAAAAAGCTAAACAATCACTCCCTGCTGATGGCAAACGGAGAGCAATTGTGTTTTTCTCCACTGTCTGTGAGCGACTGGCTGTCTGTACTGTTAGCAAAATACCTCATGGTTATTGCATAGGGTTGAATGAAACTTGCAGAAAGTAATCATTGTGCTTTCATTTACAACTAACTTAGCAGTCAGCCTGAGTCAAGATGGACCGTAGTAAACAGTCTGTTAGCAAAATATCTCATTAAGCACCAGATTGATTTTAAATAATCAAACGATCTGAAATTAATCACTGAATGCACGTCTACTACATCTGATTAATTTTCAGTCTGCTCAAATTAAAGATGGCCACAACAGTTAATTAACTTTAGCAAAACACAAAAATTACTACACCTCAGTTAATTTAGCTGATATTAAGCTAAAATTAGGTGTAGTAGTAGCCAAGAGTCCTCCCAACATATACTCAAGCGTTAACAGATTGACTGGTAAATGGACTGTACTTATAAAACACATTTCTATCATACTCAAAGCTCTTTACAACAATCTGTGCCTCATTTACTCATTCGGACATCACTCTACTAGATCTCTACAGAAACTAATCAGAGCTTTATCACATTCATTCACTGATGGGACACACATCGGAGGCTATGAGGGGTTCAGTGTCTTGCCCAGGGACACTTCAACATGCGACTGCTGGTGGAATTGAACCCCCAACTCACCCATTGGAGGACGACTGCTCTAGCCACTCAGCCACAGCCGCCCCTGTGATTGTGTGAGATCTGTTTTCGATGTTGACATGCAAGGTGGCGAGATGGAGTTCCTTCCATCTTGGACTCACAAACGCTACAGACAAGAACGGAAGCCTCACCAACCAGAGCGCTCCGAAGGCTGGAAGCACAGCCCCGTCTCTGCCAGGCCAAAGGGAAGCCTCCTGTTCACCAGCTCCAGGGAGGGGACGAACTGCTGCAAAGCACCTGAAAACAAAGCACACCTCATGGAGTGAGATCACACAGGACGTGAACCGTCAGGTCCAGGACACAGCAGGTCTGAACCTCTGGTTACCTTGAAGAAGGTTGCGTCTCACAGACGGGGACCTCTGCAGCTCCTGGACCAGCTGCTCTCTGCTCACATCGCTTTGCATCAACATTTGTTGGAGATGTTCAAACTCAACCAGCCGAGGTCCACAGGCGTCCCTCTGCTGGCTGCTGCTCAGGGTCTGGATGCCCCACACCTGAGCTGTGGAGCCGGTGACCGCGCGCCACCACTGCTGCAGCACGTTGCTCCTCAGCTCCACGCCCAGAGGCCCGTAGGAGCAGCTGCAGCCGCAAAGGAACAGCTCCCTGTTGCTCTCCCCGTGGGCAATGAAATGTCTGTCCGTGCAGAGCTGCAGGAGCGCCCGAACCTGGTCCAAACCCTCGGTGCGGGCTGTACAGCACCGTCTTCTGGAGCACTGCGTGCTGCTCACTGCGGACTTCAAGTGGACCCGTCCGACCCACCGGGTCAACATGCTGGACCCGCCCAGTCAGTCCAAACCTGTCAGAACCATCACTTCCAGGTTCTGTGCGATGCAAACTGAGGGGACATGAATCTAGTTCTGCTAGAACCGACTTACATTTAACGGCGTCCCGTCCGGAAACATGGACCAGTGTTCAGTGGACACATGTCGCGGCAGAAGCGCAAATATCTGCGGCTCTCAGGACTCTGGACTCTGCTGGATCACAGTCCTGATCGAGCCTTAGCGGAACACAACTCACAACACCTGCAACATTACTATGGACGCATGTGGTGTGGAATCCGGAAGTCAACCGTTTACTTCCGGGTTACTGCTGCGTTCTCTCGTTTCCAGGCAACAGCTGCATCCTGAGGAAATTTTTTTTTTTTTTTTTTTTTATCATCGCTGCCATACATTATATAAATATGTAATAACAATAAAAAAAAAAAAAAGCTGTGAAATTTGTAACTTGCAGTTTTTTTTTTAATATTTTAAATATATTTACAAAGTTAAAGATGGAATTCCAAACAACCTTTTTTTTTTTTTTTTTTTAGAAATAAATGCACTGTATAGCTGTGTCCATAGATATCATATAATCACTAGATCCCTCATCGCATAAATATATAAACACTAAATCCCTCATCGGCTGCTGCGGCGCAGGATTTTCGGCCGCCATCTTGGAGCGGTCGTCCTTATTTGGTTAAAGCAGATGTTTCAGCACTTCGCAGCTTATTTCTGTTCTAATCGACGGACTGTTGACGTCAGGTCTCGGTGGATAACTTTTCACAAGTAAGATGAACATATTATTGTTAGTATTTTGTGAATATAATATTACTGTACTGTATTTATGTCCACCAGCTGATGTGATGTTCAGTGTAACACGGTGTTCAGCTGCAATGAAGCTGACTGAGATCTGATGACAGGAATATTTTTCTAACAAGCATACTCACTATTTCAGTAGCTTTGGTTCATTATCAACAGATATGCATCAAAACTGGAGTTTTGTTTAAGTTCTAGGATATAAAAAATAAAACTAGTGAGAATATAGGAAATAGAAAATAAGATTGACCTCCTCTGTACAATGTTTTTGTGTAGACACAAATCTCCTGTTTTCATTTTGAAGGTTTCCCAAAGAAAAAGATGTGAGGAAGAAGAGGAAGTATCTTTGAGGAGGATTCATCTGAGCAGTGAGGATTTTAAACTGGAGGATTTTGATCAAACTGATCAGACTGTCTGACTGAGAGATGGTGCGGTACCATCGGTTCACCTTCAAAGAGTAGGAGCATCATTATAAGTTCATTGGAGTTCATAAATTTACATGTTTTATTGTCAGTCACAAGGTGAGACACCTCCATGTGTTTATATAAACAGGTAACTATAGACTGTAAAGTTCATATTCATGATGCTTTTTCATTTCAGCTTGAAAACTGCAGGACTACAGGAACTTAACAAAAGCTAGAGCTGCTCTGTCTGTGGCCTCTCAGGAACCTGCACGTCACACACACACAACCTCGGCTTCATGATGTGAGTATTTCTATTTTAAACTTTTATTTTTCATTTACCCTCTATTTATCCAGGTAGTCTCATTGAGTCACGAGAACTCATTTTAAAAAGAGACCTGTTTAGGAGCAGATGGTGGGGGTTAAGGGTGTAGTGAACTAGGCCTGAAGGTCAAAACCTTGACCTAAGGACCATTGGGACAGAACTTGTCATTTCATTGATTTGCATCCAGAAATACAGGTTGACCCATCCTGAGACTTTCTTTCTTGAATTAATCAAGTAAAAGAAGACTACTTTCTATTATCATTACTATTTTACAAATGTTTGATAATCAAATTGTGTTAGTTCAAACAATGTTTACATGTTGAAGTGAACTGCTCATTTTTTATTAACTGTGAAACAGTAATAATGATTCTTAATCCTCATTCAAAGAAGAAATCAGGTTAATATGCATTGTCTGATTTTCTGTCTTCAATGAGCGAAGTTGTAAGTGTGTCGAAGTTCAAGTTTCGGTCAACTGAAAGTTTACTGAAAAGAAATGTCATGTTTAACTTTTACAGCAAGATACTGGAGAATTGGCTCCACGAAGTCTGGTTTCTTCATAATATCTTTCTGTCTGTTCTTAAACAATCTTAATCTTTTCCTTGACTTTTCATAACACCTTACATCACAAAACA